TTGATGGCTAATTAATTAAGGTGTGTGACATCTAATTTGAATTTAATTAGATGGTGTGTGTGTGTACACGAGTAGCAGTTGACTGGGATATTAAATCTGATCTTTGCTGTAGTTAGCTTATACACATAAAAAATCAATTAAATAACGTAAAGCTCTTTGCAAACTTTAATCATTAGGTTTTTGGTATACCTGGAGCATTAATTTGTTACCTTTCTTATCAGCATTCGTATTTCTGTTGTGAAAGATTTCGTTATAATTACTAACTTCAGGACCCAATTCCGTACGTTATTGCATACTATTGGTATTCACTTGTTATGTTGATACAGGTCATTATGGCTTAGAAGTGTAGGCAGCTTTAGGAAGTTATACCTGAGGTGAAGGGAATGGAAGAGCTAACCCGTGTTAAAATAATCATCCAAGCTAACAAAAACAAATTTTAATTAACTAGTACAAGTGACACTCATTTCAGAAATTATACATGTACATTGACAAATTTGAATATACAGCATATTTCAACTTTAGTCATTTTAAAATTGGTAATGTGATATTAATGTTATTTCTTCAACTGTATTGAAATTTACAGTAGATGTGTGCATTTTTATATAGCAGTACCCATGGCGTTGGCGTTTCACTTGGTTAATTTTTTTGGGCAAGCTGTGTTTTGGTGTTTAACTCAACTTTTAATTAATTTAACATTGTAATATGGTTACAGCAATTGCTTGGAGGTTCCTTAGCAACAAATTGGACCATATTTGCTCATTATTGGTCCAAAACACAAGTCTTTTGGTTCAAGTTTTTGGGCAAGTTCTACAGGTTAACGTTTTAGTACAAGTTCTAGTTCTTCTGAAACTACAGGGCAGATTTCAACCAAATTTGGCCGGAAGCATCCTTAGGGGAAGGGGATTCAAAATTGTACAAATGGTGGGACAGGTGGGCGGGGCCAAAAGGTGTAAATTTGACAGTATGCCTCTAAATGATATCTCCTCCTAGACTATTTGGCAGATTTCAACCAAATGTATATTTCTATAGTCCATGGGAGGTAACTCCAATTTAGGGAATACAAAAACAGTCACAATAGTACATAATATAAGTTCAGTTCAGCTGGCGGAGAAGTCTCCCCTTGATGCTCAGCTGCATGTCAGAAATATCGGAATGATGCCTTTAAATCAGTCTGCATGCATGTTCCCTAGGCCTGTCGCCTTTCCTTAAGGGCCTGTCACACACTACCGATGTACCTCGCCTGTACCTAAACCGGAGCAAAAAATTAACAACGGTGAGAAAATCAGCAGAGCTCCGGCGAGAAAGCACTTGAAAAAAAATCAAAATTGACCTTAGCAATACCAATAAAGTTCCGGTGCTCCCGTTGTGATACCGTCGTTCTACCGAAGTAAGAGCCGTTGTGTTACAGAATACCACTTTTCTGTCACCTCAGGGTTACCAAGGCACCGCCAATGTTCTAACGATGTGCTGCTGTTGACCGGAGCTATAGCAGAGTGATACCATTGCGCTGCCGATGTTACAGAAGTACATTGTTAGTACATCGGCGGCACATCAGTTCTACTTTGGTGGTATTCGGTGGTACTACGATATCACATCGGTACCAGTACGGTACACATTGAGGCCACTGGATAGCCGCCGATCCATTGCGGGCGTTACTGGTGCTCTACTGTCATTACAAAGTCATAGCGGAGTACTGCCGATGTACTGCCGTTGTAGTCCCGTTGCTTGCTCCGACAGTGCTTGACAGACATTTTTGAGCATGTTCAAAAAATTCTACCATCACTTAATTGCCGTTGATAAGTTTTTCGCCGATGTCCTGAGGATGTACTACCGTTCTTAGCGATGTGATACCATTGCGATGCCGTTCTAGAATCTATCCCCGAAATATAGCACCGGCGAGCCAAATCTGCTAGGTGTGACAGGCCCTTTAGACACCCCACCTGATTGAATTCCTTGCTATGTTGAACAATATTTATTTGTCTTTTAGTAAATCAAGATAAATAACAATACATGCTAGGGCTCATATTTATGCAACCACTCTCATCATGCTTAAACTTAGATTCTATGTTTGAGAAGCCCTATTTCTTTTTCTGGTGATAAAATATCATTTTATTAATGATTAGGAAACATTTTGGAAGGCTGAATGCCAAATGCCATTTTCAAAATTTACATTTGACTTTTTGACTGTGTCACCTCATTTGATCACAGAATCCGTGCTTGAGCAATTGAGAATGGTTCACGGGCCCAGTTCTTCAATCCATAGGGGACTAGACTTTTCTACCAGCCTTTCCTGCCTTGCCCCTGACAATGCCCCATGGCTTATATAACTACCTAAGGGTGTTTGGTTGGCTGTGACAGTGTCCAGATTTGTCATAGTAATGTTATGTTTTAGCCCCACAGTGACACAGAATATCATTGACTTTATTTGTGTAATGGTTGGAAGCTCTAAAATGTTTGGTTGCTGACAAATCTACCACATACAATGTGTATCTAGGAAATGTGTCTTTAGTGTTAAGCTACTTTCCCACATAGACGATCTTGGTCACGACCGAGCACGACTTGAGCAGATCTAGGCAGTCTCGCTTAGTCGCATTGCGGTCGGGAACATGATCGTGGTCAGTCGAATGTGATCGGTGGTGGTCGTGTGCAGTGTTATGGCGATCGTACAGGTGCTTAGGTCGTGTTCTAATTTTTGAACATGTTCAAAAATTAGAACACGACCTAAGAGCTACAATTTAGTCGTACACAGACGTATGAAGATCGTGTATATTCGTGTTTAGTCATATAGCGATCGTATGAAGACCGTATTAAGTCGTACAAAACAGCGCGGGAAAGAACTCATACGACTGAACACGATCTTCATACGATCGAACACGACTGCATACGACTTCCATATGACCTTCATACGATCGTCATACGACTGAACAAGACTTCCATAAGACCGTGGCATGACCAATATTTGAACTTCCGGTTATGTCACATTGCATAGTTAATAGTGAAAAACAAAAGTACAACAAGCATGCCTCCTCGCAAACTTCGTTCCAAATCAAGCCACAAAGGCACCAAATCGGACACCAAATGTGGTAATAAGAAGCCTCAAGTGGATGTGGACCATGTGGACCCGACAGAATCACCGGGATCTTCGGAACATCATATGGGGGAGACGGATCTCCGCGCCAAACAAAATGAAAATGAAACTGCTGACATATCAGCAATTGGGAAACCCCATGAACCCCTGGATTTACCTCATGAGGATATACCCCAGGACACACCTCATTCTAGTCCGAGAGGTCCTAGTCCTCCTCCATCCTCTACACACAGCAATGACGATGATGTAAAAGATGTAGAAGATGAACAAGAACATAATTCTGTGGATACTCATGAGCCTGATGAGACAGCTAGCCAAAACAAGAGAAAACGTACTGCCTATATCTTCAGCGAAACCCAGGAAGTGGAGTTGGCTCAGTTTTACAAAGAAAACGAACTTTTCTACAACAAGAAACTAAAGGACTATAAGAACAGTGACAAAATAAGAGACTTATGAAAGAGCAGGCTACCCTGGACCCTCCATGCACAGATAAGAACACTGATGTCATGCACCGATGAGGGTAGGGTTTCATGAGCCATGTGCGCAGACCAAAAGCATCATCACCCACAATGAAAAATGGCAAAGGTTGGTCATCGTTAGGAAAAGACTGTGGTTCAGGTAGTCCTGCAGTACCTTCTTCCAAGGCGTCATATACGCTAGTATCCTTGAACACACCTCCATCAGAGCATGCACCATTTGCCCCAATGTCAACATATTAAAATTTGTAGCCAGCATCTACCAAGGCTAGAAAAATAATCGAGTGAAAGCCCTTGTAATTGAAATAGTAGGAGCCAGACTTTTGAGAATACCGGATCACCACGTGCTTGCCATCAAGTGCACTAACAGCGTTGTGGAAGTCCCAGCGCTTTGAAAATTTCTCAGCTACCTCCATCCATTCTTCTGGAGTTGTGGGGGTTACCATGACCTCACCTCCATACTTTTCAAAAATTGCCTCGTACGTTTCAGGCATGATTTTGCTGATAGTGTTATGAGCCACTCTGAAGCCATATTGTAAAGACTTATATGAGTTACCAGTGGCCATGTAACGTAATGTTAGAGCAAGACGTACTCCAGGATCAAGATCCTTTCTCCAGAAAGTGTGCTGTTTTTGTAGACGTGGACCTACACATTCAATCAATTCAATAAACAACTCTGGTTCTTGTAGCTGCTGATATCTTCACGATGAAGTTCTTGTAAGAGGTTTTCATAGTGTCCATACTCTGGTCTTCTCAATAACCATGGTTTCACCCACACAGTTCTTCTTCTTGGGACTCTGCCCCGGTTCCTAGCCTTAGCATTAAGACTGCAGCAAGCAGAAGGCCCTCCTCCTCCACCAAAGCAGCTTCGTGCAGGTGTTGCTCCTCCTCAAACATCATGGTGACTGGCACAGGAAGGCATCTCCAATCCATTTATATACACATCAGACCATGTGAGCCAAAAAACAAACAAACAAAATCGTATGGATGTCGTATCGCGGTCTTGCACAGTCGTATGACATTCATGTTGGTCGTATTGAAGTCTTGTAAGGTCTTATGGCCATCGTGCTAAGTCGTGCTAAGTCGTGGCACAGTCGTAACCAATCGTATACAAGCCGTATTGCCATCGTATAAAAAATGTATAAAAAAAGTATACCATCGTAGTGCGCCGTATGACTGTCACATGACGATTGTATGACATTCGTACACTTGACACATATTTGCATATTTGCCACGATGCTCCATGACCAAGCACGACCTTAAGGTCGAGTGTGGTCGTGTTGAGGTCCTGATAAAGGTCGTGATTGTGGGAAAGTAGCATTGGTGTCTGTAGTGGGATAGCTGACAATTCTACAGCATATCATGGGAGTGCATGTGCCTTCTTCTTTATACAGTTTAATTGTTTTTGCTTAAATTCAATATTTATATTTTTTCAGATTGCTGAATCAAGGACAAGATTAGATACCAAATCTCCAAAGAAATATCCCCATGTTATTGTACGACTCAAGAGAATACAGGTAAGACAATCAGAATCCCCCAGAAAAGGGTTATCATGATCAAACTCGGAAGCTCAACCTCAATTCATCAGTTCCAACTGAGAAAGGAATTCATATAAAATTTCACAAAACTTTGATTGTTAAAGTGCATTATAGGCAAGGCTATAAAGCTGGGTGAAATTATGATGTATGAATGTTTAAACATGTAATTTGAGTAACATGTAATTCGAGTTTTATGAACACAGAGCCAGATGATGTATTCTTCTGTACTTGTAGAAAAAAATGCATAAACTGATTTCAACTGCACGAAAGAAATAGATCTTAAAATTGATTCTTGATTCAGATAATATTATACTATGACAAGGATATGTTGTATTCTGCAACATTATTGGAGTTGATTCTTTGAAAGTTACATATGATGCTGAAATAAATCATCAGAAAGAAATTCTGACATGGAAATGTAGCTTCTTCCAGATTATTTCTATTCTTAAACAGGAAAAAAATCAAAGCAACGTGTAATTATTTTCCAAAGATATTAATTTTACAGGTTTATAATTATATCCAGGGTCTCTTTACAAACATTTCTAGAAAAAAACATTTGTCTTAACACTCAAACGTGAAGAAAATAGGTGGAGAGTACCGCTCAATTCTTACTGTAGGATGTATTGAAATGTTAATATGTTATTAATATAGGGGATGGGTGTGTGGCCATGTGTGTTGGTCAGTGTGTGTATAGCCCACCACTACCTCACCCTTTCCTTTGCCCCCAGGGGATGGGAGTGTGGCCATGTGTGTTGGTCCGTGTGTGTATAGCCCACCACTCCCTCCCCCTTTCCTTTGCCCCCAGGGGATGGGGGTGTGGCCATGTGTGTTGGTCCGTGTGTGTATAGCCCACCACTCCCTCCCCCTTTCCTTTGCCCCCAGGGGATGGGGGTGTGGCCATGTGTGTTGGTCAGTGTGTGTATAGCCCACCACTACCTCCCCCTTTCCTTTGCCCCCAGGGGATGGGAGGGGGAGGAGATGCTATCACTGACCTTGGCACTTTGCACACGGTGCTACATATGGAGAATGTTCAAGGACCAATCAATGTGGTGGTCATCCCTATACTGACCAATGAAATTGCTCATGCAGCAGGCGGGAATGGGGCTCAGCGTCCCTCCCTGGACAAAGGGATCACTTTATAGCAGCGAGGCGTAGCAAGCAGACGTGTTTGGCGAGCTAGCTATATTCTGTCATAGAGTGAAGAACAGGCATAAATGAAAAGTTATGGTGCTGTGAAATTCTGGTTATATTCTAAATATTTAGGAAGCAAAAGTTATTGGAGCTTTTCTTACTAGAAACAAAACAGAGCACGTTGAGACAGTCTGTCTTTACACGTTTTACTCCTGAACACACATTAGAACCCTTCCATTTCAAAGGTTATTGTAACCAATGCCATTAACTTGTTACTTTGTACAGGGATGTCAGCAGGGTTTTACTTTCTATACACAAAGGCACAATGACAAAACATTCCACACCAGATACGGACAATAAATGGTAACATAGGATATGTATCTGTTACAAGTCCCTGTTGTTCAGATATCTTATCCGAAATAAAAAAATAAAAAGCAACGTTAAATCAATATACTGGTAGATGATAACATACGGTAGGTTATAAATTAATAGTTTGCGTGATTCCTACTCATTGTAAAGACTTACTGAGGAGTAACATAGGTATAGATAAGGCCGGTATTTTATATTTACTTTGAACTTGTTGTACAACTCATTAAACATATATAATTCCGATCAATGAGGATTTGGAAGTGCTGCCTATTTAATGGGATGGCTCTTTGGGAAGTGACATTTGCCTGTTGCTACAACAATGATATGGCCCTGACTCAGTATAGATCAGCTATGTACTGGTGGTATATATATACATATATATATATAGTGATAGATGTTACATAGGAAATGGACTTTCAGTTTCCTCTTTTGGTAAATTGAATGTGAATGTTTAATTGTGATAAAATCAATAATCATACCTATGTGAAAAGTTTTGAATTAGCTAGTCAACCTTAGAACTTATTGGTGAATAAATGATTTAGAAGTAGGCTAAATTTAAAACCCTGTTTTTATATGCCTGTCAAATTTGATGGGAGTATTATGGTATGGGGTCTTCCGTCCGTCGGGCCGGCCGTCCGTCCGGCGTAAACTTTTGTTTGTCCGGCGATCTCTTCCTACATTTTTCAACCGATCTCTTTGAAACTTAGTATACATTATAATCATGATATGAAATTGTGTCCCCCTTAAAAGAATTTTGATTCAACGATTTTTGCAAAAGTTATTGCATTTTGTTCATTTCAGTATTTGTTTTTTTGTCCGGGAATTTTCTCCTACATTTTTTATAGCATGTCAGCTAACCACTCTTAGAATGATGCAGATCTTATTTCAATGTAAGAAAGTATATAACACTATATGACATTCGAAGGGCGTATATTGGTCCGCCCCGCGGTACTCTTGTTTATTTCTTATATTGTTTCTAAGTCATGGTAATTATACAATCTTGGCTCTTTGAAAGAGAAATTTAAATGGGTATGTAGGTATACATTGGGCACGTAGGTATACATAAACAAAACCTTCTTAAACCTTCAAAGACATTTCTATAATGTGTAGTGAAAATATTATCAATTTCTATTATATTTCACTATAGCCTGGTATATATGTCAATCCCCAGGATTACGCTTAGCGTACTTAGCATGTATAATACTATTGAATATTTCCTAACAATACAAATAGGGATTAATAACAGGAATGGTGGAATCCCTTTTTATTGTGACTTTTTATTGATGTATTGGCTTTTAACTAGGTATTACAGATTAAAATAACATCGTTGCAAGTACAGAGATAATTCTTTGCTCTATAAATCGTTTCCTGTCTTGCCCACATTAACGGAAATTAAACGTCTCTGTGGTGGAGTTTTCAGTTTTAGTCGGAGTTCAGCTTTTCTGTGATACTTTTTTTTTTAAGCGACATATTTTTGTTATTCATACTTTGCTTATGTGTTGTCAATGAAGCAAAGGTGACAGGTAGGGATCATTTTGTTGGCCCCAAAAGCACCCACACAACTTAGGTTTTCATGCTAAGATCTTGAAGAATTGTTTTGACTTTCATTAAACTATCTTTACATGTCTGCAATGTAAATTACCTCTAAAGTTTCATCTTGAACAAAATCTGAAAATTCAACATGGCTGCTAGATGTCATCTCTGTGGTTGAGTGTTGTGGTTTGTTTCTATGCTGTAGTTTTTAAGTAGTATTTTGTGCTATAAATAAGATGACTTGGTTGGGTACTGTTGGGTAGGGCCTGTGTCTGGGGTACAAACAGGATGACATGGTAATCATACACACTGTTGGGTCAGACCTATGTCTGTGGCACAAGCAGGCAGACAGATATGTATCCAGCACTCTGTATGTGTCTGGGGTACAAACAGGATGACTTCGTAATCATACACACTGTTGGGTAGCTATATAGGGCCTATATCGGGGGTACAAACAAGATGACATGGTAATCATACACTCTGTTGGGTAGCTAGGTCCTATGTCTGAGGTACAAACAAGATGTCATGGTAATCATACACTCTGTTGGGTAGCTAGGTCCTATGTCTGAGGTACAAACAAGATGTCATGGTAATCATACACTCTGTTGGGTAGCTAGGTCCTATGTCTGAGGTACAAACAAGATGTCATGGTAATCATACACTCTGTTGGGTAGGGCCTATATCTGGGGTACAAACAGGATGACTTGGTAATCATACACACCGTTGGGTAGGGCCTGTGTCTGGGGTACAAACAGGATGACTTCGTAATCATACACACTGTTGGGTAGCTATATAGGGCCTATGTCTGGTGTACAAACAGGATGACTTGGTATTCAAACACACTGTTGGGTAGCTATATAGGGCCTATCTCTGGGGTACAAACAGGATGACTTGGTAATAATACACACTGTTGGGTAGGGCCTGTGTCTGGGGTAGAAACAAGATGACATGGTAATCATACACACTGTGGGTAGGGCCTGTGTCTGGGGTACAAAGAAGATGACATGGTAATCATACACACTGTTGGGCAGGGCCTATGTCTGGGGTACAAACAGGATGATTTGGTAATCATACACACTGTTGGGTAGCTATATAGGGCCTATGTCTGGTGTACAAACAGGATGACTTGGTATTCAAACACACTGTTGGGTAGCTATATAGGGCCTATGTCTGGTGTACAAACAGGATGACTTGGTATTCAAACACACTGTTGGGTAGCTATATAGGGCCTATGTCTGGTGTACAAACAGGATGACTTGGTATTCAAACACACTGTTGGGTAGCTATATAGGGCCTATATCTGGGGTACAAACAGGATGACTTGGGATTCATACACACTGTTGGGTAGCTATATAGGGCCTATGTCTGGGGAACAAACAGGATGACTTGGTAATCATACACACCGTTGGGTAGGGCCTATGTCTGGGGTACAAACAGGATGATTTGGTAATCATACACACTGTTGGGTAGCTATATAGGGCCTATGTCTGGTGTACAAACAGGATGACTTGGTATTCAAACACACTGTTGGGTAGCTATATAGGGCCTATGTCTGGTGTACAAACAGGATGACTTGGTATTCAAACACACTGTTGGGTAGCTATATAGGGCCTATGTCTGGTGTACAAACAGGATGACTTGGTATTCAAACACACTGTTGGGTAGCTATATAGGGCCTATCTCTGGGGTACAAACAGGATGACTTGGTAATCATACACACCGTTGGGTAGGGCCTATGCCTGGGGTACAAACAAGATGACATGGTAATCATACACACTGTTGGGTCAGACCTATGTCTGTGGCACAAACAGGCAGACAGATATGTATCCAGCACTCTGTATGTGATGCAGTTCCATCTTGTTCCAAAATGGGAAGACAGATTGGTAATAAGATCTAAGTACTGAGTTGGAAGGGATTCCCTGAAGTGCCCAAACCATGTAGAGATTAAAAGGAGAGTCCTAAATCACAAATAGGAAACTGTCACTGTAAATCTGATAGTGCTGATCACAGTACCGATTAGATTGGCTGTTACAGTAATACACAGGTTTTATCTTTTAATCCATTGCATTTATTTCTCTTTTATACCCATACAATTCTGATCACATTCCATGTTGGACATTGATGTAAGATTACTAGAGAAGGAGATAGATTTCATGTTTTTAACTACCTTTTTCACATATTGATTTATACAGTTTTATAGCTGTTACCCTGGGATTAAACCAGGTGTATATTCAGTGTAAGTTTTACGGTGGGGAGGACATTGTACTGGTACCATGAATGACATGTTTATTGTTTGAGAAAATTGGATTTAAATCCCAATCTTCCACCTTAACTTGGCAGTAAGTGCCCGACACAGAGATTTTCTATAGCTCACAAGTCTCAACTCAAGTTTGATGAGAATATGTGCAGACCTGAACACCTTTGTAAATGTATAATGTGAGATATTGAATTGTGTGTTAGTGGCTAGGATTGATTGTGTCCTAACATCTCATTTATCACTATGCATGGTATGTCGCTCTAATGACCCGTTCCATTGGCGCTTGGACATTTTAAAATTCTGCATGCTGTAAAGATTGCACTGAGGTGTAAATAATGGTTGTAATATCACAATTTATCAAGCTCCATCCATCCCTTTGACCTGACTGCTGTACAGTGATGTGTTTTAGATGTAAAGCTATCCCTAGTATGCAGTGACATGGCTGAGCAATTCAACATTTATTTATCATCAAGGCACCCAAACACATCTGAAGGTGTCGTTAATGGTGGGTGGGGAATTGGAAAATTATTCTCAATTCTAGAATTTTGTGATAGAAAAAATATTGCATATGGCATGTCCCTACCTGAAGCATCAATGGAAATGGAGAGACATTTCAATATGCTTGTGCTGGAGGAATACAGTAAAGTAGCACAGGTCATGTAATAAAATACAAAAAAATCATTTCACAGGTCCTATTTTCTTAATAGATTGTTGTATTAATGTAAGAAAACCTTAAAAGCAAGAACTCACCAGACCCTTAAATTTCCATACCTCACACAAAACCTGTTTCCCTTAACCCTGAACAATTGTCATAATGGGTCCCATGAGATGCACAGCTAGTTTAAAACATCATGTATATATACATTTTGATAAAATTAATACTGGTTTACGTGTTATATGTTTTTAACTAGGACCCTATTATATTGACGTAATTAGGCCTCCCAATACTTTCAGTGAAGGGAGGTTTTTAGCCCCAGATCATAACTGTTTTAATTTGTTGGTTACAGCAAGAGGAAGAGAGACAGGCTGAAGTGGACCATGAGAACAAGGTGCTCCTACAGAAGATGACCCACATCATGAAGAGCAGACCAGAGATAGACAATTGGAACGAGTATGAGCCCAAGAGGTGAGGATCTTACACTGTGATAGACAAACGTGTTGTACACATTGAAGGCTTTTATACAACGAGTTCCTATTGGTGGACAATCAACCTCAGACTTTGCCCAAAGTGTTTTCTTGTAATAGCTTTGAAAATATCAAAGTCAACATGACTATAGATAGAATGTCAAGTTCAATTTCCCACATAAAATCATGAGTTTCTGTTGGTCAATCTATCTCCTACTTCATACAAGACATTCTCGCTCATCAAGGTAGTTATTTTTAATTGCTTTCTTAATGTCCCTAATTACCTCTTTTGTGTTGATAGTTAAGAATCTAATAATGATGATAATTCTTAACGTTAAAAAATCTAAGATCATGGTCATATCTGTGAGTTTGATATTAGTATTATTGATAGAAAGAAAATCTGGTTCTACTTTAAGATTTGTTTCTGTATAGGTCTAATGACAACTACTGTATGTGACTTGAAGCTATATATAATCTTGACAAGGAGATTTTCTGTATAGGTCTAATGACAACTACTGTATATGACTTGAAGCTATATATAATCTTGACCAGGAGATTTTCTGTATGGGTCTAATGACAACTACTGTATATGACTTGAAGCTATATATAATCTTGACAAGGAGATTTTCTGTATCTAGGTCTAATGACAACTACTGTATATGACTTGAACTATATATATAATCTTGACAAGGAGATTTTCAAATCAGGAATTAAATCTTCCAGAGATGTTAATTTCATAATTATATAATAACTACAATGTACATGTATCAAAATAGCATCCTTTCAGTCGTAAATATTCGCAAATAAAACTTACAGGTACACATGAAACTTAATTGATTTAAAGTATTCAAAGATCAGGTATTTGATTAAGCTGCATTTGTGTTGTAGTTTAAACTACGGCAGCCGAGAGAAGATGTTACGGGATATACAGATGCAGAACATTGGTATTGCCCGGCGACTGGATCGTGCTCAGCCAGTGTATAAAAACGATGACTTAGTAAGTACATTTACTTCGCACAGCTTGAAATATTGGTTATAGCATGGGGCTGCTCATCATTTTTCTGAAAGTCTATTATATCTGTTGTTTTGCCTCTTATAAACCTAAAATTATAAAAATGTCTTCCGATCATCTCATAATTTTTTCTCATGGTTACAAACATTGTTAAATAATGGGATTCTCTTAGTCACAGAAAACATGCAAGGAGTCTTGCTTTGATGTAACCATTGCTAAGTTTGGCAGTTAAAACAATGTCATGTTCCATTACAATGGGACCCTAGTATAATGTAACAATCTCACTATTACCAGTATTTATCAGACCCCAGTATAATGAAACAATCTCAGTATTACCAGTATTTATCAGACCCCAGGATAATGAAACAATCTCACTATTACCAGTATTTATCAGACCCCAGTATAATGAAACAATCTCACTATTACCAGTATTTATCAGACCCCAGGATAATGAAACAATCTCACTATTACCAGTATTTATCAGACCCCAGGATAATGAAACAATCTCACTATTACCAGTATTTATCAGACCCCAGGATAATGAAACAATCTCACTATTACCAGTATTTATCAGACCCCAGGATAATGAAACAATCTCACTATTACCAGTATTTATCAGACCCCAGGATAATGAAACAATCTCACTATTACCAGTATTTATCAGACCCCAGGATAATGAAACAATCTCACTATTACCAGTATTTATCAGACCCCAGGATAATGAAACAATCTCACTATTACCAGTATTTATCAGACCCCAGGATAATGAAACAATCTCACTATTACCAGTATTTATCAGACCCCAGGATAATGAAACAATCTCACTATTACCAGTATTTATCAGACCCCAGGATAATGAAACAATCTCACTATTACCAGTATTTATCAGACCCCAGGATAATGAAACAATCTCACTATTACCAGTATTTATCAGACCCCAGGATAATGAAACAATCTCACTATTACCAGTATTTATCAGACCCCAGGATAATGAAACAATCTCACTATTACCAGTATTTATCAGACCCAAGGATAATGAAACAATCTCACTATTACCAGTATTTATCAGACCCCAGTATAATGTAACAATCTCACTATTACCAGTACTTATCAGACCCCAAGATAATGGAAAAGTCTTATGTTATGAAATAGTGCAGATTTACAACCAAATTGATATTTGGCACTGACAAAGTAGAAGTTTTTGTTGAAGTGTTTTTAATGTTATTGATAGCTGAAGTTTTTTATAAGAAAATTTAGTTAAATGAGGTATCTATTACAGGAACACTCACAATGGGTATGGATGAATATGCTGAAATTGTTAGGCTATATTGTTTGTCTAGTGCTAGCCTACATATTAAATCAATTAAACATATGTAGTCTTATGTTTTAGTTTAAATGAAACCATGTGATTGAGAAATGTTATCCTGGAGGCTCATCTATTGATTATATACCAGGAGAAATGCCATGTGGGAAGTGTCTCCTCAAACTAGTCAGAATTATTCTGACGTTTTATCGACTTTTTACATATCCGTCTGTCGTTGATTAACGTCAGAACTCCGGCCCTCTATAATATGCGGGAAATATCCGCCCCGCGCCCGGAGCGCACTTCAAACTGAAATTTTAGAAACAAATCGTCACTTTCACACACATGTCGCACATGGATAGAAAGATCTATTCTTTATGCACAAGATGAACATACATCACATGCCTCAAACAACCAATACAATCACTAAAAACATATCTTTTCAAACTCACTCTGTTTTACTCTAGTTTTTTGATAGCCCCGCCTTCTAATGCCACGTGACTAAAATCTCGCCGGCCTACGTCATAACGTTGGGAAATACCTTCGATAACGCGAGATCTCGTCAAGTCATGTGACATCGCTCATGGCCTGATTTCCGTTAAAAACATGGGTTGGTATAGAAAACGTTGGAAAATACTTTTCGTAATGATCTTTGAAACATGTTATTGATACCACCTAGTGCATAAAGAATAGATTTTTCGATCCATGTACGACATGTGTGTGAAAGTGATGATTTGTTACTAAAATATCAGTTTGAAGTGCGCTCCGGGCGCGGGTCGCATATTTCCCACATATTATAGAGGGCCGGAGTTCTGACGTTAATCGACGACAGACCGATATGAAAAAAGTCGATAAAACGTCAGAATAATTCAGACTATCCTCAAATAGGCAAACACCCAATTACCAATAAAGTAACACTTCATAATGCCATCAACCCTGGCTCATTGTTGACTGGTTATTGACACTGTACTCATATTCCTTTGGTATTTAAATTCAGTATCTATTTGCTGTTGAATAAATCAACCATTGATTTATGACATAAAAAACCTACTGAATGACAAAATGGTTAAACCTTGGATACTTTTTGTAGGATTTATATACGACCCTGGAGTTTTATTGAAAAATCGATATTCAACAGTAACTATGGTCTGATACAAAGTAATGTATTACAGTAGGGAACATGATTTCTCTAGAATTAGTCGTCTACCATCACATCTTATATCACAACAAATGGATTGTGAAAGAAAGATTCAACCTCGTACAATTTGATTGTGGACTTGGTAAAGCAAAATGGTTTTAAAACTTAACCCACCTCAATATGTGTATTTGCTAAATTGCCAGCGTGTCAGTTCCTTGACTGACCCACGTTTGAGGTATATCAATATCATGGAGGCATGTTTATATATATGTATATCCAAAATACCAGAATACATTATCGAAAAAAACCAGTACCTTCGTAGTGTAATAATTTGTTACTTTTGAAAAAAACCCATTTGTTGGCATGAATTGTTAGCCATAACCCTATATGAACGACTTATATGTATGCAGTCTTTTAAATGAAAATGAAAACAGCCAAAAATTTCATCCCAATGGACTCACAGCTAGGGGTGTACAATTCTAGCAGCTTGATGCTAGGAACTAGTAAATTTTATGTCAGGGCTTGTAAAAATGTTAAATATTTACTATGGACTTATAGGTCAAACCAACAGAGAGTTTTCAAAATCTGCTTTTGGGTAAGTGTTCTAAATATGTAATTGTACACCCCTATTTCTTAAATTAAGGGAAATATGCAAGTTCTCTCACATTGGTTTTTTCATATGTGGGAACTATTATAACCATACAAGAGTACAATGCATACAGTGAAAATATTACCAATGTGCATGCATTTGTTATCAACATCCATCTTCTTCTACTGAACATCGGATACCAGATCTTTATTAGGTAAAGGTATTCATTTAAGAGTATGCTCTATCTGTAGTTCAACTTTTCAAGGTCGTGACATTGGACTAAAGTTATGAAAAGGAGCTTTCTAGTGTTAACAGGTCAACATGGACTATAACAGAAGCTAGGTTTTAACACAAATCATTGCAGGACTTACGTGCCTGTTTATGGATATCTTGGAGCTGTAGATGTAAGAAGTTAATGTTAAAGGCTTTAAGGCTTTCGCCGCAGAAGTTTGATGTGATGATTTGAACAACTTTCATTACAAACCTTATTTCGTGTTTTACACTAAGGAAGTTGTATCTATACATATACAAGTATGATTATCTTATTTTAAAACAACACAAATGAATACAAAATTTAAGCTATTCCTGGGTTTTTTTCTTCAGGAAAATGAATACCAGCAAAAGAGATACCTGCAGGCTTTGTGGGCTGAAAATGCCAAAGAGTTTGGTCAGGTTACCCCCAGACATCTGAAGTACCGCCAGTTAAAGGTAAGGATACTTGGATATAAGTGGCCTTGAACAGGTATTACAGGTAACAGAACGTAACATTGTGATAGGTGATGGGGCCTATAAACAGGTATTACAGGTAACAGAGTGTAACATTGTGATAGGTGATGGGGCCTATAAACAGGTATTACAGGTAACAGAACGTAACATTGTGATAGGTGATGGAGCCTATAAACAGGTATTACAGGTA